AATGACCACATGAACGCTGCGCGATCTACTTCACTCAACCTTCGCTCTCACTCTTCGTCTCTGGCATCCAGGCTTACCCATTTCAGCGCTGTCATTGCCTGTGGTGAACCAGCTGAAAACGCTGGAAAAGCCTTTCAATGGAGGGACAACCTGGAAAGCTGTGCATGCCGGGCCAGAGGTGGTCTCATTGTGCCTGGGCAACAAAGCACGGAAGTCTGTCATCTGCTCAAATCAGCTGCTCAGATCTGCAAAGCTTGCGTCAGAGCGTGCAACGAAAGGGCTGATGCGAGGCCATGTCAAGTTGCAACAGGTCACAAGAACACTGTAAACTTTTGCTACTATCTGTCGCCTATATGCGGGTGTGCTTCACAAATGCAAAAACAAAGAAGCAGTGGCCAATATCTCCCTATTCAATTACAATCCGCGCAGATCCCAAGTAGACACCACACCTGAACCTGACACAGTTCCCTGCTCCGAGACCCGGGACTCACCCGTGCACCCGCTTTCATCTTGCACGTTCAACCGTTTGAACACTGCACCAGCAGTACTCGAAGAACCCCCGTAACTCCCAACCCTCAGGAATCATCTTGATTGGCAATCACCTTGCACTTTTTAGTTAGAAACCCTTTGTTGGATGGTTTTGGGAATGGGTAACAACAAAACATGATTCCTAAACATGGGATATGGACTATATACTTCACATGGCGGGTTGCTTGTTGGTTCCCTTGAACCACCGTCAACAATGGGGTTTCTAATATAAGGACAATGATGCATGAAACCACAATTTGGAGGATCCTTGGTTTTACTGTTGGTCCCCTGTTCAAACCACTCCAAAGGGACGTGTTCGACGTTGTGCACTCCCAGCTGCCAAGCCTGGCCTCCACGCCGAACCGCGTCAGGAAATATGCCAGATTCGGACCCAGCCCCTGGCAGGATTTCGCATGCGGGGCGGAAGCATGGCTTCAGCCCTTTTGTTGGGCCCTCTGTCACTTGACACCAGTCTCAAAAGGGGCTCCTTGGTCAATCACATGCTCTTGGCACTGAAGCCGACTTGCTAGGGTAGGGAGAGCCAAAGTCATGCGACTGATTTATTCGGCACATGGTCATCTTTCTCTCAATTCCTTGAATTCCGTGTGCATTGAGGCCAGTCCCTGTATACTGCACATGCGAACAAGGCTTGAGCCTTGGAAATCACAAGAAGTGGAAGAACCACCTCTTTGCTTCTGGCTACGAAGGCCACTCATTGAGACAAACATCATATTGCAAAAGGTTGAAATCGGGCACAATCTTCGCAATGTTTTGGCATACTTCTGCAACCCTCAATTACCAGGCAATCACAAATCACTACACCCTTGCCGCAATTCCCCTGGTTACTTTGAGTTAAGTCAGGGATCCCAAAAAGGCTTCAAACATGACTCCAAAAGGAACCTCACTTTCAACTCTTCGAACAGAAGCTGTTTCGACCAAGGCAAAAACACGGCGAGGCACCCTGCGGATCACTGGCCTGAATATTTCCGGGGGTTGCCCTCGCTCGGTGCCAAGGCGATCGCCCACGGCTGTGGAGGAAAGCGTTGAAGACCTTCCTGCGAGAAAAAAAAACGGCCAAAGGGGTGAAGTATAGGATCTCTAGGTGGGTGGCGGAAACAAGTTGGATTTACGATTGCCCTGTGATACAACCCTTTGACATGCCCCCCGCCAAGCAAAACAGAACAGGCCTTGGGGGCCGATCTTCCAAGATAGTGTTCTGCCACCACGAACCAAAGGAGGAGACTGGCCAACTGACCAATCGAATCTGAAGAATGTATGATGCACCAACCTGAAATCACCAACCCGTAATAAGAGACTTGCCCAAAAGAACCTGCATCATGAATAAAGGCCAACGGAAACCCTATGTGAGGTCGATAAGTATTCAATATTGGGGCACCCTTCTTGGAGTCCAACAACTCGTCTACACCATCCATACAATGACTGATATAAGAAAGCAAACTGTCTAACGCCACACCACACTAATCAGGCAGCTGACAAGCTATTGCTTGCGGTGAAGGTGCTCGCAACATCCTACAGTCAGAAATCACTAGCACCAAGCAACTTGACTGGATTTGCAAGGTACTTGGGCACTCTGGGCCTTTCATCAATGTGTGGTTTCTCCTGGACTGCAGGCGTGTCCTTGCCAAAGCAATGGGCCTGCATCGGGATCTAGCATTCTCGGTGAGTGTCAGCTGTGTCCTTTGAAACACCACGCCTTTCGGCTGGGAAAGTAGGAGCATGACTTATGCAATTCGCGAGGGGCAAAAAGGATACCAGGCCAATGGGTTGCTCGGTTCGGGTAGGCCCCTTTTGGCTCCTAGTCATATCATCGGGTGTAAGAGCTTTGGGGTTGTCCCGCTCCTAGCAGACTCATGATCCACAAAGTTGATGAAGGCGAGGGCGATGTTTTGCCTCAGAATGCCAACCACCAGCGGCTCCCCGGGGCTTCCAGAATGTCTCCATCAAACATCACCCCATGGCAGCGCAGCTCGGCTTGTCCAACAAAACATGAAGTGGCCTGAGGGGAGATATGCGGAACCCCTTGCGGGGTAGGGGTTGACATGGCAAACCCCACGATGCAGAGCCTTTGGAGCCAATGTCTAGAATCATGCGCATTCCCGGATGCTCAAGGGGGGGGGTGGCAAATGCTAAAGTACGTAGGCAAGTCTAAGTCTAAGGCCCTTGTGGCAGGTACAGTAACGGTTGACAAGTACGTAAAACAACTCTACAGTTGCTGACACGGAGCCTTGCAAACAACTTGCAAACTGAGAAACCGTATAGAAATGCAAACCTTTTGGGAAACCCTTGCCAATATCCTCCATGATTCCGAGAAAGGTCTGAGGCACGCCCTTGAAGGGCAGAAGCACGCAAAAAGCTGAGTTCCCGGAGGCACCATTCTATTGCGAAGAGTTAGAATGACTATCAAACATGATTTTGGTGAGTCCCGCGATGGCTCTTGTAAGTCGGATTGTTTCTTTGAGTATACAGATCATGAGGACAAAGCAGCTTTGGGAATCCTGGAAGTCTCTTCCATTCTTGAAACTCCCTGGGATAGCTGGGAAAGTAACATGCTTTGCTTGGAATGATTGAACGATTGCACCGCATTAGGTTGAGCACCGACATCTAGCAGAATTTGGAGACCCGAACGTCCTCAGGCGCCGTTCTCTGTGGGCATGCGTTCATCAAATACTAGATGTTTATCTTTCTAATGAGTATTAGTTCGACAAATGGACGGACAATGATTCTGGGAATCCTCTTACTATCAGTTGGGAAAGGACAACCAAGTGAACTGGGGCACCCTGAAACTTGAACAAATGCAACATACTTATCATGCCCTTCCGGTGAGCTCATTGCAGGGACATCTTCAGAGACTTGTCTTCTGGTTCGGGCTCCCAGCACCATCGCTGCAACCAGGCAGCCCCGTTTGCTGTTCATGGGGGACGTGCACAAAGTCGTACTTTCCTGGGACAATCTCTTCCAAGATCTGGACCAGCCTGCGCACACGTGCTGAAACAGTGAGCATTCAGGCGGCCTCTGCCCCGCGATCCATCAGCACCTCATACTTGCCGGTTGCTATTTGGTTGCAATGGTAAGTAACTCCGCCAACATTGCTCAGCGCGTCGGACACCTGAGAGAGGATAGAGGATGCCCCCCCCCCCCTGGTCCGGCAATTTGATGACGTTCCACTAAAAATAGTCCTCGGGGACAAACAGGGGTCCCAGGCTCGAATCCCCCTGCCGAACATCTGGAAAAACTCGGTGTTTTTGGATGTTGAAGGGAGACTTGCAAGTTTCGCGGGCCTGCCCAGCCCAAAGAATAGAACGGTAACGGCCTGAATCTCACAACTGGAACCGTTCAACTCTGAAACATCCGTCCGCGTCTTTCAGGTGCACGTGCAAAAGCAAGTGATTTGCTGCCGCACAAGTTCAGCCTAACAACTTCCAGTTGCCTTCATTAACAGTGTCAAGGATACTAGCCCTGCCACACCTGTCATTGTTCGATGTTCAATTCGGAGGCCATGTGTGAATTCCAACCTAGCGCAACCACCTCAGCTTTTGCCCAAACAATGCCATGGTGTTTTCATTCTGGTTCAATGTGGTATGAATCTGAATTGGGGACCCTTTGATGGACATCATTTACATGGTGTTTTGTGTCCACCAGGCAGTTCAGGGTGTTTCAACCCGCAAAAATCTAACACACACAGACACACATCGGAGGGGCTGCAACACAAATCTGTGCCTGAGGTTTGAGACGCTCGGTGGCAACCTCCGAAGTATCAGGCTTGTCACGCTCGCGTCCAGCTCTCGGTCGCACCTGCGATCGCTGTTGCCGAGAGGCCTTGAATGGAAAACTCACAGCTTGGGAGTCAGGGCTTGTCGAAATCGGTGGCACCCCCGTTGACTGAGGACCATTGGGATGGTCTTGGAAGGCAAACCAAAGCAGCACATAGTCTTTGGGGGGTCTAAGGAAACACTTGAAGGGCCCGAAAGCCTGGAAATTGAATGCTCTCTGCAAGAAGGATAGGTGAACAACATCGCAACAAAGCTTGCCTTGTGAAACCCTGCATTCTGGGAAACAGAATATCGCCCCTTCTCTAGCAGGTCGCCAAGTTCTTTGCTTTTGAAGTAGGTCTCTTCAAAAACACAATTACCTCTTCCAATTGTGGACAAGCGCGTGAAGCTTCTGCAGGGGAAGCATGTCCCGCGCCCACCCACCCAGCACGGGCGCCTAGGTTCTTTGCCCCCATTGGGCATGATCGCAACACCTGACGTGGGCGCCAGCAAAAAGCGGAGAAGCCATACTTATTAGGCCTAAATATGGCCAGAGGGAAAGCAGGATTTGCCTTGTTGTTTTCTGTGTTGCAGGTTGCGCAGTAGTGTTCCACCCGACAAGAAAGGAAAGGCTTAAGCTTTCGGATTGGTGGGGAGCCAACTTGCAGAAACAGAGACAAATGGTGCCACTGAACAGCTGGGGATATGAACCATAGATTGTCGCTCGCTGGGTTACAAGACTCAGGGTATCCACTGCGTGCACTATTGCATGCTCTAGGCGCACTTGTTATCAGAGCTTGAATTCACTAGCCTTTCTCTGTTCTGCTGGTTTCGCGTGCTCCTTCTTTTTGCAGCATCGGCTCCTTGTTGCCAGCAAACCCGGATTGTGCAAGTAACTTGCAAGCTTGGTCCGGTTTCTCGGGGTAGGTCCTAGTGCTTCCAACTACCACTGTTTGTGCAGTAGCTTTTGGATTCAAACAGTGTCCGGCTGCCGAAACTTGGACCAGTGACTTGTGCATGCAAATGCATAAGCAACACCTGTGCGTTTTGTTGTGTTTTGCCCTTGCAACATGGCATCTGACTGCATTCCCCCGGAAGACGAACTTCCTCACAGGACTGGGTTCTAGCTCCAGGGTCTTCTGGGAATCCGAAAGATTCTTAGGCAGATGATAGCGGCCCCAAAAAACGCGGATGTCTATGCAAGTAAAATACATCGGCAACCTTGTTGGAACATGTTGGAACCAAGCAGAAGGGGCAATTGGTCTTGACGCATTCTAGCAATCGTAGACTCATGAGACAAAGCTGTACAATAACCTAGTCAACTCGGTAATAGCCCGCCGGCCTTGCTACAATTTCTCCAAATAGCATCCTCATGTTGGTGCTTTGTGAAGAACCCCCTGGAAACAAAGCATCGGGAGAACTGCATGTTCAAGGTGCGTGGCAACAAAAGCAGGGCAACTGCGCTAAACATGTGAAACACAGACAGTATTCGGCGAATGGCTCAAGGACAAAAGGATTTCGGCTCTTTTGGCTTCCGAAAAAGAAAAAAGAAAAGGGTACCCTCAAAAACACGAGTCACGTACCCGAAATCCAGCTTCCTTTCGCGAAGAACTCAACGCATCTCTGCCCTTCGTATCAAGCTGCTCACTCGTGGCACTGAGCCGAGATTCCACTTCCCGCCCTACCCCCAAGCTCCAAACCCTCCAACCAATGCAACCCCTGCAACCCCTCCCATCCCTCCAAGTCCTGCCTTGTTCCAGAAAGACTGGCTATGCCAGCGCTCACCAGCAAGGTACGCGAGGGACCGGGCACTTGCCACAATAGAGTGATGCTACCCTCGGCAAGCAGGCATGTAGCTGCAGGCCTTTGGATCTCTAACTTGGCTGAAGCCTCTCTTGAGATGAAAGATTAGACTTGCTGTATACTCCGACCCCATCCAAGGCCTGCTGAGCATTGCTCGCTGCCAGAACCGCTGTGACAGCACAGGCAACACCCGGGCGGGCTCAACAATCCCAAATGCCTCGCTGGACACAGCTGGTGAAACCTCGCAGAGGCTTCACAGCCGAAACCTTCGCGAAGGCCCGTTCAACAAATGCTTCAAGAAAAAACAACGGCTAGCGAGTGGGAGACCCAACCAAACCCTAAGTTCTCTCTGCGCGGAGGCCTTCGCCACTCGCCTTGAGCCAAGATCTGAGATGGACGGTCTCCACACCCCGCGAAACGGGTGGCTCGCCTTTGGCCTCACCTTTAAACAACTCCTAAAAAGGGGGGGGGGGCACCCTCAACAATCGGAAACAAACTCCATGCACTCAGGTCAAGGAATTTGCTTCCGCTTGCACTTGTCCTCGACGCAAGGTTAAAACAAACATCCTATGCATGGTTCAGTACAAGGAGACCCAAACGTGTCAGTGGGCAGCACCTATGATTGGCCACATGGACAAATACACCATGGGTGTGGAAATGGATACAGTGGGTTGTCCACCCAAGCGCTGACAAAGCACCAAATTCCAAGAGGAGTGACTGCGATTGGCAAGAGGGACGACGCACGCATGCGGCTGCCTCAAATTGGAGACCAATCTGGATGGAGACTCTGCATAACACAAATGAAGCCAACCATCTGTAGCGTGTGCCTGCTTTTTGTGATCTAAAATGGGTCCTGGCAAATGTGTTCTTGAACGCTACACATAATTGTTATGCTTTGCCTGCTGAACCCGATTCTTGGACTAATCGCATTCGCAGTCGAGGAATACAGGCCTATTGAACGGAGGATATCCCTGGGTAAACCAAATAATGCCCCTTTTGAGGACCCCGCTTCCTTGGAGGCGACGCAACACCTTCATCGAGTCGATACTTTCTTCCAGGGGGCTGGTGGAAACGACCGAATTTGGCAACCAAAATTCCCAATAAAAAAGAAACCAAAGGTATGAGTTGAAATAGAATTACGCTAAACATAGCTGACAAAGGCCGGCCTTTAGCCCTCGGCCACAGCGCGGGCTACACTTGGCTGCCAAGGCAATTGGCAAAATACAGCATGTGCTGACAAAACATAACAGAAGGGGCACAAGAACTAGAATGGGGGTTGGGGTAGAACTAAGTCATAACCACATCATGGGCAAACGATGGATTTTGATAGTTGCTCAGCCCTTTTGTTTCCACACTGAGGATACACAAAGATATTTCTTAGGGTGACTGCAACACATTCACAAATACTCATCCCTTGTCGCCTTTCTTTTTGATAAGCTGAGAAAGATTGGAGGCTTAGCACCCCGCCTACTCAGAGTCGATGCCTGGCAAAGCCTCTGCCCCAAGCCACGCGCCTGCCGCGCCCTGCAGATCTGAGCGTAAACTCTGTGCCAGCTCAGTGCTGTCGTCTTCCTGGGGCTGATTCCACACATGCGCCCAAGCTGTCGATCGTTGGGAAACCACGCCTATGCCATGTTCTTCAACTTTCGCAATCGGGCTTGACTGCCATACACGTATTTGCATGGGAAGGAACACAAATATGTATATACCCGTTTGCATGTATAGCTATGTATTTGTGGAACGTGCCCTTGCCGGGAAGTTAGTACAGGGTATGAAACGCAGCTTGGGGAATAATACTATTTGGGGCAATGGCTCGCGCGCCTCCAAAATCTTGCTCTGCGGCTTTGAGTTATTTACACTGGCAAACAAGTTGCCGCAAGAAACCGAACTGCTCAGTTGCCACAAGCCAGCCTCTGACGCTTCGGTATCTAGACGGCTGCGCCAAACTGAACTCTGAAGCTCACGCCAGCTGTGACGGAACAAACTCTGATGCCTTGTCAGTGGCCAGCCCGTACTCTGAGGCCCGCAATGCCCGCAAACACCGGAAAGGTTCCTGGGTATTCGGGGGTATGGTTCGCCCATGCTCGCCCAGGTCCCGCTTCCCACGTAGACTGAAGCATCGACAACAAAGAATAGAGACCCATAAGTGTATATATATATGTACATAGGCGTGTATATATGTATATACATATATATATATATATATATGTATATATATATATATGCATCTTCGTACTATATATATATATGCATACATTACACATATCATATACTTTGGAAGAACGCCTAAGGGGATCGACCAACCAACCTTACATTGCACCATCAAATGTTCCATCCGCAATAGGAACTCTGGCACTTGACAACCACCCGCTTGAACATAGCAAACTGCTATGCATCAGGCGAACCCCTCAAGGTAGGATGTCACGTTTTAAACATCCCAGCACTAAGTTTGGCATTGTAAAACTCGCGTTTTCGTGCGCGGAAATAGAAACGTGAAACGTGACTTACGCGGCTCTGTTCAAAAAAGTACAGAAAATTCACCCCAAAGCGAGCTTCCCCATCGAGGAATGTCAGGAGAGTATCCGATCTTGGCTCCTGCAAATTCAACTGCCTATGCCAACCCAATTCTGCCTCCCCATGCAAAGTGCATCTCCTTCCAACTGGGAGTCCAGCAAATAGGACCCCAACGGGAATGTCTTCCTTTGGGTTACCTTTGAAGGGGTACCATAGAGACAAACACACCCCGGTGACGGAACAGTTGAGATCTCACATTCTGCACCTTGAGACCTTCGCTCTGTGCCAAGGCCATCACCTGAGGGCCCTCGTAGACCTGGATCGTAAGAGTAAGGTCGGACAAAACGCCAAAGGCTATTGTTACCTACACTCTGGAACACTCATATGGTTGTAGAGCCTCTTGGTGGACCCCTTGTTCTGGGGTGCCAATGTAAAACCTTCAGCCGACCTGACACTAACATGGATGCCACCAAGTACCCGATTAAAGAAAGTGGTCTTCCCAAGTTGTCTGAAACACAACGCCAAATCCACAACTGATTCAGGGCCAAAAGGAGCCATGGGAAGGTAACCCTTCATAGTCCTTGATGGTGCCCAATAGTCTCTAGGCTGCAAGGCTCCCCTAACCAGGGCTCTTAAGCACCCGACCACAGTACAAGGCTTCCGAGCAGCCGAGAGCAAAATGTCCAGCAAGGCCAACTGCTCGAGCTGAGCCGCCTCCACCTGTGCCGAGGGCAGCTTCAGGAGAATTCGAAGCCACAGCCAGAGCCATGGTACTTGATGGCCCCTCATAGTCATGATTGGCCACTGGTCACTCTTCGGCTGTGATAGCTCCCGTTGCTTTGATCCAATGTCCCCCCCTTCCCCAACTTAAGTTGGGTGAGGCTACCTCGGTTACCAACTATACAGGCAAATGAATCAGCTGGGAATGAGTGCAACCCTCTGGTCTGTTATCTCCTGGCACAGGGATTGCTGGATTGAACCACTTTTCGACTAAAAGCCCTTGAGTCCTCCCCACGTTGTTGCTGTCCCTTTGAGAGTCCCAACCCTTGCCACCCCCGGCCTGGTTATTTCAGCGTCTACAGAGTTCGTACAGCTTATCTGTTGCAACAACAGTACCCATGTGTCTGTTGGAGCATGTTTGTCCCAGACGTTTGCAGATCCCATGCTGAACATATGCCAACCACCAAGGCCCAGAGACCGAGCACCAAATGCAGGGCAAAGGTGGGTGTATACATGTTAGTGAGGTGAAATCATTGAACAGTGTGCCAGAAATGATCAGAGACAGGACTTCCACGTTTGGACGACCCCGCGATGGCACAAACTGCGCCCTGGGTTCAAGTAAATCTGGAGGCAAGCCTACGGGTTGCTTGCAAGGTCCCGGCACCCTTGCTGAAACACGGCCTGCCCTTTGCGGCCCGTCTGGGACCTTTCCTGACCTTTTGCTGAAACGATTCGGCCAAGTGACCGAATCGTGGAACAAACCAACAAATGAACAAGCAAGAAACGCAAGCAAGCAAGCAAGCAAGCAAGAAAGCAAGCAAGCCAGGCAGGCAGGCAGGCAGGCAGGCAAGCACGACAAATACTACAAAAAACAACATCGGAATGAAATCAAACCATATAAAGGAGTCCCCTATTTCAAGACACACCGTGACAAATGTCAGGTAAAGCACTGTTTGTTGCGTGCAGTAGCGCCACCTCTTTTCATGGGACCTGCCCTACCCCATCCAAGGCCACTAGCCATGGGTGCGCCTTAAAACGACGACTCGCTCGAATAAAAGAGATTGCACCTGAAGTATAGAAATGGCGAACCCGAAAGCCGTGCCTTGGTGTGGTTTGCAGCCCAGTAGAGACCTTCCCTGGGCACATCTTGGGCATTGAAGACGTGCTGGGAAGTGGCACCTTGGCAAAGACTCATGACAGTGTCCCAAATTTTGAGACCACTTTTTTGGACGATAATAAGAAGGCTCCCGGCCATTTTGCGGGGTCAACTGTTTGACGGGCCAGACCCATTGAGTGGCCCAGCGCCTTTTTCTCAAAATGGATTCCCTTTTGGGCGATTCTTTAAAGGAAAGCAGAGAGGAGATAGTTTCTCTCGGGGCTCCCCCATTTTGAGACACGCCCAACTGCTTGAAGGATGCCTGCTAGCTTGATTTCCCACGCCATGCCGCAAGAGACATGTGCTCCCCCATTCTTGCACGGCTCCGAGGAGTCAAGCAATCAGGTCCCATCAGCCCAGACGTAGGTATCGGTCCCAGCTCATTCGCGTGGGCCCCTAGCCAATGATCACTCAGCCCGTCTGTCATATGGTTCCCCCCGAAGCCTGGCCCGAAGAAATCGGCCGATGGGACACCAAAGCCCTGGGCCCACCACATGTGGCGTAGCTCTCGCACTGGCCCGCGTACTTCATGAAGCAGCTCGCTTCGGCATTGAACCTGCGAAAGCACCGAGTCGTGGGCATTCCGTAGACCTTTGGGGAGCATGGCACCAATGTGTTGAGTGTGTCACACGATTGCCCTTCTGGCCTGATCCGACTTTATTTGGCATCAGCGTGCGGGAAGTTCTGTGGGCGGAGCATTCGGGCTAAACTGCAAGTTGCAGTACTACCGAAATATGTCTAGGGAAACAAACTCTTAGGGACTGGGCAAGAGCAAGAATGGGGGAAGAACGCTTTTGCAGGCTAGTCTTGCCACATTGCCACATCCTCTTTTTTGTCTCAAGCATATTCCCCAGCCATGCTCTTCCCCGGCATCAACGTCTTTGTCTTTCTAAACTATTTGCTTGCAATCACCATGAGCATGCCAGTGCTTAACATGTTTATTCTTTAGAAACTAGGCCAACAATATCTTAACTTTCTTCCTAGGTGAGATGCCCTTACACAATGAGCAAGTGCATTTTTCATTGACTCTGTCCTCCCCTGAAACAAGGCGCTCCAACTGGAGACATCACTCGTGCGGCTCAGCAGCATAGCTTCCATATTACCCAGCTTCTGCAGGGTGTTCCTGGACCAATGGGCCGGGTTCCGTTGAGCCCCCCGCCACTACAGTAGATGGACGAAACAATTGAACCCTGTGGGCACCCCGCACCCAAGCTTTCAATCATTCTGTGCCGACCTAACCTTACATTGAGGCTTGGGGGGTTGGGGGGTCGGGAAGGCAAGCCCATAGTGAAGAGTCTTAATAGTTGTTGCATCTACAAATGTTGTGCTTTAAAACACATGTTGCGAAGCTGCGAGAGTGCGATTGCGGGATCCCGCACCCTAGATCTCAATGTTGAAATGCCCGCGCTAACTTCGTTCGTTTGGGGTTTGATGTGTTTTGTCCAAAGGGCCCTTCAGAACATTTCAACGTTGAGGTTTGTGGGTGGGGGGCCAAACCCATAGTGAAGGGCTTGAATATTTCGTCGATCTAAGGTAGGTGCCACTGGAATTGGTTTGCACGACCCAACCCAACACTCCCCTGGAAGAAAAGAAGAGATAATCGGTCCTGCACTGAAGTGTTTGATGAGAATACTGTTCAAACGAGGCCTCAAACGAGGATGCACAAACTGCAGAATCCGTCACGTTGGTCTGTGCAAAGAATTGATCAGAAACCAATCCCCATTGGCACACGAAACAAACCTGAACCAAGCCCTAAGGTACAAAGCTGAAACGGCCAAATACTTCTCAAAACAGGCAATTTTGGCGAGAAAACAACCCATGAATTTGCCATTTGTTCAGGGTTAATTGTAATACAATCAACATGAGCCTGGAATAAGAACATATTCATGGATTGTTTTTTTGCTGAAGCTATGGGGGCTCTGCCCGGTTGCTGATGGGGACATCACCTGGGCACATTTGTTTGTGTCCAACGTTGCGGAACTGGCGGGCAGTATCAGGGAAGAGTGTGAGATTCCATGAATGCGGAGAGTTTGGCTTGTACTTGGGGTGGAACTGTTCCTTCTTGCATTGCGTTATCTTCCAATTGTCACAACTTACTTCCAGGCCTGGCTTCAACCGCAGCAGTATAAACCAACAAACAGCTCCATGTAAATGAAAGACCGATTAAATTTCCACATTGGGCGTCACTCCTGAAGGATCTCCTGGTACTTCCTTGGCACTGCAACGAAGGGGCGTAAAGGGCTCAACGCATCTTTTCAAGTACCCAGCGATCCTTGCGGACTCCCGGGCCCAACTCACACAAGCAGGATTTCAGCTGGGCGAAAGAGTTGCGCCTTGCTTGAAGCTGGAGTATGATTTATTGGACCGCTTCTTTGGGCCGGAACTTTGGACGGCACGGGTTCGAAAACAAGGCAACTCGTTCGACCGTTTTTCTCGGATGGGGGAAGGGGAGAATTCAAAACCCTAATGTGTAAAAGCACAACCGCCCACAGTTGTTGGGGTGCTCCTTTTTGCATATCGAAGGGACAAGCCAAGCAAACAAACACACACACACACACACACATGCACACCAACTTGCCAGGAATCACTGGCCTGTCACGATGTCATGCTCAGACTCGCAAGCACCATGAAAGGAATTTGTGGTGTCAGCATAGGTATTCAACTAATCCCTATTGGGTTGCCATTGTTAGGGCTTTGCTTGACACCAAACCACTATGCACCGAGCAACATCTTCTGCAATCCCTCCACGTATTGACAGCATGGCTTGGTCTCGTTTTGTTTTTCTTCTCCGTTCTTTGAGCAGCAAATATAGTACAAATGCGCGACCCTGTTGATCACCACATAGTGAAACGAGCCTGGACAAAAGCACAAGGCTCTGTAATGGTACTGGTGCGAGTATCTTACATGATTTCTCGACCTCTGTCACCACTCTCCGTTTTCGTCTGCTGGCCAGCGAGGCATGCACCAGAAATTCCAGCAGTTTGATAAGATGCCCATGTCAAATGGATTCATTGTCCGATCATACACAAAGGCATCCTGGTCAAACAAGCTGTTGTACTCATCGTCATCCAACTGCTCCACTGGCACGTCGTCACCGAGGCTGGTGTCGTGCGCCACATAATTCTGCTTCTTCTTCCACTCCTGCGCCGTCTCATTCCTGGAGATGAGGCCCACATGGATCCTGAGCATGGGCCCCTCAATCGCCAGCAAGGCAATCGAGTAGGCCAAATGCAGCACGACAATGATCTCTCTCTGCAGGTCATCTATCTTGGCCGCAAGGACTGCAACCCACAAGTCGATCATAATTCCCAGGAAAGAGATCAAGGTCAAGCACATCAGCATTGTCACAAACTCCCGGTGGTTCAGAAGACCGATCGTATTCTTGAGCCATTTGCAGTAGTGGTCGTATCGACGGATGGGCCTGGGATATTGCCACGACTTGTGCGCGCGCCTTGGCATGCCCTGCTCAACATCAATTCCGAGCTGCACGTTCCGCGTCCCCTTCACTTGACCGGGATCCGCAAAAGCACAGTGCATCATGCACCCCAGCGTGACAGCATAGAGTACAGAAAAAGCTGCAGAAAGCGCAGCTTGCGACATCAACGTGGTCCGGCTGAGAATCGGAATTTGCACCGTCATCAGGCATATGGCTCCAACAATTGTTGACGATGCAAGGGCTGCTGGCAGAATGGGTTTGAAATCGACGCCCCAGAATGTGTACTCCAAGCTGGGGTCCTGGCCTTCCTCCTCATACTCATCATCATCCTGCAAGCCTTCTTCACAAGACTTCTGAGTGTTTGACGTAGGCCTGACAACCGGAATGTCGCTGGCTCATGTTTAAATGGCGTAAACAAACTGATAATTAAACATTGTTTAAGCTTAAACAGCATTTGATTGCACGGTCCCTTGACACACAGCGAAATCCAGGTGAACATTTGGGAGCTTGTTCAAGCGCTCCCTTGGCGCAGTCCAGGAAGTTGCACCAACAGCGTCTGTTTAAACGCTCCCTGAGCCCTTTTTGCAAGAAGCAGCCTTCTGGCACGAGCAAATCAAAGCACCACCACCACCACCACCACCACCACCACCACCACCACCACCACCACCACCACCACCACGACCACCAGCACCAGCACCAGCACCAGCACCAGCACCAGCACCAGCACCACAACCACAACCACAACCACAACCACCATACAGGAAGGAACATGCGGGTGTTGGGTTGTTTAACCGTTTAACATGTATAAACGGTCTGCCTAAACAATATCTAGCTCAGGGTTCGTTTACAAATCACTTAAACATTTAAACGTGTTTAAGCGGTTCACCAAACAGTTTGTGCCTCTGTAACCCTTGAACCTGACTTTGAATATCTTTAAATGGTCCGCCTAAACAATGTGTCCCTCAAGGGTCGTGTAGACATTGTTTAGACACTATAATCATGTTTAAATAGTTCGCCTAAACAGTTGCTACCTCAGGGGCTGTTTGAACGTTGTGAAAACGTGCCTCAACACAGTACGCTAAACTATTTCTCTCCCAAAGGCCCTCCAGCACGCTTGCGCATGGCTGTTTCTTGCGCCGTACCGTATGGACTTGTTGAAACATGTTCAAACATCTTTCGGTTGGGATGTGTTCGTGTTTAAACGTTTTTAATGTATCAACGGTTTGGTAATGTGGGTTGATGTCTAAACATGTTTATCCCTTTCCTGCCTGACAGCAGTCAGGAGGGTTGGCAGCGGCCTGCCGTCAGTCGGGCATACAACCTTGCGAACGTAGGCAGGGGTAGGAGGCTGCATGAGCGAAAGGCCATGGGCATACATTGGTAGCATTTAGCAAGTGCAACTTCTGCTTGACAAGAATGACTTATCTTATCATTATTTGCTCTATGCTCACCGTTGGAGCATTCAAGCCCATCTACAATGTCATGCCAGGAAAGCAGGAACAACCCTGCGACAAACGCTCACTACCTGCACTCCCTTGAGCCAGTCATTCGGACATAGAGCATATTGGGTGCTGCGCTGGATTCGGCCAGACTGATCTTCCCAAACGAAGGGGGCGCTGTAATTGAAACTCAGCCAGTACTAAAACCTGCAACTGAAACGGCAACTATTTCGCACCATGTCTATCACCAGACCAACACTTGGAGCCTCAAAGGACAAAAGACGATTTGCTACGGACAACTAAGGAAACAGGCCGCCAAGAGGTGAACCTGGCCAGACGGTGTTACCATTCTCAAAATCACGCAAGTGACTGATTGCCCCAAATGCTCACTTTGATATCCCCTGCCAGTCAAAATGAGTGCAGCACGCTCCGGTCTCAAATTCAGCCCAGGGCTCCAGGAGTCTTCCAAGTTTTGTCGGGAGGTCACGGCCACAAAGGTTTGCTTCGCGCAGATGCGGCCGTCAGCAACAGTGATGTCGGCCAGTTGCTGGTTGAACCTCACGCCCCAACACGGTGCTGAACTCAAGAGCCGGCTTTAAATTGGGAAATGCACATGCTGACAACTGGCAACATATGGTGGGAGCCAGTGTTTGCTTATGTCAATGTTTCGTGGCGAAAAAAGCACTGAGGACTGGGGACCAACTGCATTCAGGACAGCGGGGGACCATCGATTCCATGCACAGTGCAAGCAAATATAAACAGAACGCGTAAACGGAGCAGGATCATCACGATTCCTCAACTGCAGCTTGTTGGGAAGCAACGGAAGAGATGGTTTTAAAATCTTGCTACCGGACTCCCCATTGCCGAATGGCATGCTTGGTCCGTATGCCCGCACGCTGCGCTGGTGATACTCTCGAAAGCAACCTTTCAATTGAATGGACCGCTTCGGTTTAGATGCCCCCGCAAGCAAAACTGAGAAAAGCAAAGCCCCCCAACAATGCTCAGTTTCATGAACCTAACGATGCTGCTTGAATCCGCGTCGATCACTCTGGTACTCAGGTGGCCACTCGTTCTTGAAGGCACGGTGAATGGACTCAGAGACCGAGAGCAAGTCGTTCACCTTCTGAAGGGATGTGCGCCTTAGGTCTAGAGACCATCCCACTGAGATCAAGCCGCAGATCCAAAAGGAACGACAAAGGACCAGAGCAAGGATTGCCCTCCCGCCAATCATGGAAGTGCACAAGACCCCCTGCCAAAACAAAGCAGTCTTGACAAAGGGGTATGTGCACATCCATGCTTGGTGGAAGGGTACCTCTTCAGCCTTCTAGTGGACCTATACTAGGAGAACCAATGCTTCCAAATGTATTGCATTACCACTACACACTATGTACCTGGGAAAGCGTGATCGTGTGCTTTCTGGATTCTGTGCGCTGCTGCGCCTGCTTGTCCTGTACTGGACGCCCTTCCTGTACTGGAAGTTAATCAATTTTGTCGATACATGCCGCCTTGCCATCGTGAAGCCAACCAATGTCCACGGCCTCTCCGATCTCCACCCATGGCACTGAACAATTGAGCAGTGTTCTAAACCCAGTTGCGGCCGAAGCGACATATCGAATCCCTTCCACAAAGGCTTCCGCGGAGCTTGCGAGCCATGAAAGGTTCCTTCCGCAAGAGGTTTGAAGAGGGAATCGCTTCCGCGTCACTTCCGCGCATTGAGAATGGGATTGAAGTTCGTTTTCGCTTCCACGCGAAGGAAAACTGCAACTTCTTGCTTGTGTGATTGAATCGTAGCCCTTCCGCGAGCACATAAATGAGAAACCCCTTCCACGAATCTTGCGCGGCGCTTGCGCGACCTGGGAAAAGTCAACATTTTGAAAACGATAATTCCTCCCCGAATACTACTTTCAAGCGCAGGGGGTTTAGAACGTCGCTCAATTGGTTTGCGCAAAAGCCATCAAAGCCTTCGTGATGACAAGCTTGATTCCATACCACCCTTCTTGGGAGGGAGGAGTTGTCCGTGTTCCCAGCACTGAGGATGGCGCTTTCGGAATGCTGTTCACGGGAAGTCAAAAGGAGACAATTCTCCCACCCACGTGGGCAGCACCCTTTTCATGCTAATGTCTCGCCCCAGCGGCAGCGCTGCGGTGGAATCCGCAGGACAAACCATGTAGAACGCCACGAGCACCCTGCACGGTCCGAGCGCGCCATGGCTTTGCCCTTTGACTTTCCTGCATTTTACCAGTTGAAGAGAGCTCAACATGGTCAACCCGGACACCTTAAGCGACAACCCTCGCAGCAATTTTGTATCAATCTAATTTCCTGAGATTCCACGTCGCCTACATTTGGCCCTTGCTTGATACAAAGTAGGTACTGCAACCCACTACATGAAGCGACTGCGAATCTTCATTCCAAGAGACACACATATTGGTTGCTTGCTGCCCGGCATCATTCGGCGCATAAAATAAGCATGCGAAGAACGCGCCGAGCTCAAAGAAACCAACAAGTCCATGCACCATGCATCTTAACTGCGTGAATGGTGTGCTTCCATGTCACGTGCAATCATGCCCAAATGCACTTACGCTTCCGTCCGCGAAATGCCATCCACGTGTTCTTGCATTTTAAGCACCGGTGAGGAATCCTGGAAGTTTAAATTGGTATGCCAAATCGGGACCGCCGAACACACACGTAGGCCAGACCTAGGAGCATGCTGTCTTGGAAGGCAAGCCAAATCTCCACCTAGGCAAACGAACCTGACAGGTCCTTCCACTTGTTTGCTCCAATACCGTTGCCCGCCTGAGCAGCATCATGGCTTGAATTAATGCAAGGCTAGCGCGCGGCGCGAAAAAGGTTTGGACTGCTGGACAATTGCCCAGGATTGGGGTGTTGCCATGTTTGCATCGCTATGGTACCGTGAACTCCTTGAGGCTTAAATGGTTTCCTTTCAGGTTCATAATTGGTTGCTCCAAATGGTGCGTTCATCGCACCCGGGTCCAGTTCAAATCTGCCATCCGCAAGAGCCGCCTTGATCAAGCAGGAGACCCGCGTTGCGCGTATTTGCGCGAGGCCGGCGAACGGAGACACCCGGAAAGAGCCACATCCAAAGGCGGCCAAGCTAGGTAACCCTTTGGAGCCAACGTCTGGCAATCCGAAGGATTTCCCACTGGATAATCCGAAGGATTCGGAAATCCAAAGTCGGCATCAAAAATCCGAACTGTCTGCGGGCACGGGTTCCAGCGAATGGCAATCACCACAACGACATAGCTTGGCTTGATCGCCAGGCCCGTTGAAGCGGATTTGCAGCCAGGAGGAAATCATGTACGCAACATGTTTCATAGGTTCACAGGGCCAATGATGGCAAAGAACCTGCGATCTCAACCACTTGGCCGTGGCCTGAGAATCACATAGTACTCTTCAAATCAAAAGCAGCAAGAAGAGGGGTGAGGGCTAAGACAAACGCTTAGATGATTTTCTTTAGAAGAGCAGCTTTCCGTGCCAGATTTGGTTGAAGACAGAACAGGCACTGGGCCCCAAAACTGCTTGATCATGCTCAAACAAGATGGAGAAAACCCTCCATTCCCGGAAAATGAGCGACAGCCCTTGCCCTGTCGATCATTCTCAGTTACAACTGCGCAGCGACAATTCTACATGAGTTGCCCCCTTCAACGCACTGAAGAGTTTAATCTGTTTGCAGGCGTGCAAAAGCCCTACTCAGAGGCCCATCCCACCTCAAGTAGGCTACAACCCTGGGGGTTTATACAACCTGGTTCACGGTGCGATAGACTCCAAGCACCCTTTCTTGAACCCTGGCAAGGCTGTTGCTAGGACGTACTCCGAGCAGGAACGGTGGATGATGGGGTTTATTTGCAAAGCACACAAATGGCCCAAGCAAAACAACCAGGCAAATGGAATACCCTTGGAATACCCCGAAAAAAACAACATGGACCCCAACAAAGAAACAAGTGCTTGGAAAGCTGTCGGGTTCCTGTGGATTGTCCAGAAAGTATGCTGGGCCCATGAAAGATTGCGGTTTAAATGGAAACCACACCCAATAGAAATGATGAACCCCTCAACATGCAACCACTTTAAGGGCCCGGTTGCAACAATAGCGGGGCCCCGCGCAGCATGGGCCCCACGACGCTCAGCGACTTTGGCTGCAGGCGAACGTAGAACGGCCTTGGTGTCAACTTGTTCGCTGTGCACAAGTAGGCAACCAGGCATTCTACTATGTTTTGCATGATGGGTTCTCCTACGTTACCTACTAATGTTGGACCAGCTTTAATGTGACCCCCCTCAACAGTGGAACCAGTCTTCTGGACCCTCTTTAGGGAAGATCCTGCGGGTCAGGGAGGGACAGAGCTTCCTGTAGTCTTGCCAATTCTACTTTAGTATTGCCAATTCTAGCCCCCTCTCAGATTCCAAGTAAATACTTTAGTATTGCCAATTCTACTTCAGTATTTTGCCAAGGCCCTCTCTCAGATTCCCGGTACTTAGGTCAGTATTGCCAATTCTATCCCCCTCTCAGATTCCCAGTACTTACTTTAGTATTGCCAATTCTACTTTAGTATTTTGCCAAGGCCCGCTTTTCCAGCAACCCCCCAAAATAGTTGGACACTAAAGAGGACCCCAAAACTGTCGCATTAAAGAGGATCAAGGCCTCTTGTGGGCACCCCCCTTTGTGCGAATTGCGGCTTGACAACCGAGACTCAAACACGTTTTGATGCATACATAATATCATTGTTGGCGCTGTATTAGGTGTATCCTTGGCGACAGTTCTTGCGCACGATTTGACGATGTGTGCGGCTTGTTCTATCGTGAGTGTGTTGCAGTCGCTCAGCGTAGACTGCTTGAACTCTCATGCATTGTAGCTCCTTCTTTCCCCAATGCCTCGGTACGTCGCTCTGCCTTCCACCGATTGTGAATCTTGAGCAGCCGTGTTTGCCCTTACTTT